TGTAGTTTTTGGTGTAAAATGTATAGTTTAGTTGAATCCTCACTGGGTCTTTGCTTTCTTTGTAAGCAGACAGACACAAAGGGCGGTCAGAGAGGAAAGGTCTCCTCCATTCGGATCTGTAAAAAGATTCCAAAACCTCAGAATAATCTCACCCCAATGGGACTTCCTAAGGTCATCAGGTGCGTATATATAGAGAAGATACATTTTTAATTTGTCCCTAGCTCATGTGCATCTGTAAAAAAAAAAAGTGTTTCTTGTTTGTGCTCTACAGAATAAAGAAGAAGGATTTCAGCTTGGAGGAAATCTACACAAACAAAAACTTCAGCAAACCTCCAGATGGGTAAGACATTGGTTATTACACATATTTCACGGTAGTTTAGTGCAAACACTTATCAACTTGATTGGCTTTCGAGCCAGAAACCACATCTGATCACAATTCATAGCAGTTTGTTTTTTGGTATTAAGCTGTTAATATTAATACCTTGTTTTGGTGTACTTTCCCACAAGCTGTCTCATTGTGATCATGTTTATGTCAGTATGAAGAGAGTATGTGCCTTTTTCTTACAATGCATTTGAGCACATTAGTGTCTACACCATAAAACAATCCAACCAAATTTATTCAGTTTCTGCTTCCAGTTACTGTGGAAACCGGGTATTTGAAAAACATTAACCTTAACACTAATGCATGCAGTTGCAGTGGATAACACAAAATATAAAATCAGTTTCAAACACATGAAAATGAAATGTTTTGTGTCATTTGCATGCTAAACTGTTTCAGTGGTTGGGACTCTCTTTAGGCTGGTTACAATTTTTATCTGACCTTTCAGAATACTTGTACTCAAAGCTACTTTTGCTGTTTTTAAACCACCTTCGACATAGGGGTGCTCAATTATGGAAAAAAATCATGATTATTTTGGTCATAATTATTTTGTAATCACGATAATTCAAAACAATATACAGCCAAAGTCAAAATTATTCGCTCTCCTGTGAATTTTTTTTTTAAATAAATATTTTCCAAATGATGTTTAACAGAGGAAGTTTTTTTTCTTCTGTATTTTCTATAATATTTTTTCTTCTGGAGAAAGTCCTATTTGTTTTATTTTGGCTAGAATAAAAGCAGGTTTAAATATTATTAAAACTATTTTATTGTGAGCATTATTAGCCCTCTTAAGTAATATATTTTTTGATTGTCTGCAGAAGAAACTACTGTTATACAATGACTTGCCTAATTTCCCTAAGTAAGCATTTCAATTGCACCGTTAGCTGAATGCTTTTATCTTGAAAAATATCTAGTCAAATATTATTTACTGTCATCATGACAAAGATAAAATAAATAAGTCATTAGAAAAGAGTTATTAAAACTATTATGTTTAGAAATGGGTTAAAAAATAATAATGCAATAGAATAAATATAGGAAACAAACTGTGCTTTAAGCATCTTCACTGTAAGAAAAAAACTAATTATAGCTACAAAAGTCTTTCATTCAAGAGCAATGAGTGATTTTTGTCTTTTAGTTGTTTGATTAATGATAAACAGTCGGCAGAAGGAATATTGCACGCTGTCACTTTAAGAGCAGCAGGGTTCTCATTTATAGTTTCACTTTCACATGTCCTTTGATTCTCAACTTGTTTGTTTATTACATAAATAAGGGTTAATATAAATAATCTCTAAACACAGCGTTTGGTCAAACTTGAATGTGTTTGACCATTAAAGTGCTCACATTAAGATGACTTTAGATGTGCGTGCTCTGCTCGTCTCTGAGGCTGAGTGCATACATACAACAACATGCAATATCTTTCGTGCTTTTAAAAACATGAATGATTCAAATGTACATCAATGAATGATGCGCATCCCTTGCTGCAAACATTACATTACAGTACATGCTTTTAGTAAATTTCATGTAAAAGTGAGCTTTGCAGAGCAACAAATGTGTACAACTGGAAAGGGGGCGGTATATGATGCAATAATCGTTTGATATCGATTCAGTGTTTTTCATAATCGTTAGAAGTACTAAGTTAGCCGTACTTTGACAGAATAACAACTCTCTTATTTTAAACGTTTTTTTTTTTTAGTTTGTTTTTATAATGCCAAAGATCACAGATAATCACTCAATGCTCACAAAACACCCTTAAAGTGGGTGTATATGTTCAAATGTTGATGCTCTTATGTGCATGCACAGTTTAAAAGTAGGTTTGTGGGCAAATCCTTCAAACGCTGTGATCTTCAACAAGATTTTATTACCTGGCACATTCTGAAGCAATCGCATGAAATTTCACACCAAAACATGTACAGAGGAAGACATTGCCTCACAGCCTCTCTCTCTAACTCTCTAACTGTCTCTAACTCTCTCTCACTCATAAGAGCTTAATAATGGTATGAGCCGTGAATACTTGCTACACTTACAGGTCCTTTTTCAGCACTGGCAAACCAGAATGCCTCGCCATTATAAAGCCTAGTCTGCTGTAAACTACTAGTGCATCTCAATTAACATACTTCTGCACTATTCTATGCCATTTAGTAGTATAAATGGTACACGTAGTGCATTTACACTGAAAACTAAACAGAATAAGTGCACTTTAAATACTCGGATGATGCACTTATTCAATCATTAAAAATAAGTGTGAAATACTGGACACTTCACACACTCGATGACCACTGCTTTGCTTACGCAGCCGAAGGGGCTGAGCTTTTAGGCACTGATGTTTGATTACTTTATTTATTTTAGATTGTGAAAGCCAAATTCTCTTACAGGAGTGATTTATACTTGATTATACTATATATCCCGATGGTCAATGTGGTTATACTCATCAGGGTTCATACTGTGCTGGAAAACCTGGAAAAGTCATGACATTTTGAAAAGGCCTTTTCCAGGTTTGGAAAAGTTTTGGAAAAACAAACCCAAGATGTTTTGGAAAAGTCATGAGATTTGTTTAACACTTAACTGTGCATTTGAATATATTTGAGATAATAAAATTGGGTACATTTTAAATAAAATAAAATAAAATTGAGCTGTTCGTCCCTTCTCGTGACATTCTCTGTGTGGGGTAAACTTTCAATCTTCAGTTGCAAAAGCAATAACTTTAAAAATCAAAAGCAGTTTTAGCTTCACCTCTATTTCACTTGCTTTCACCGTAGTTCAAGATACATTTTGAGTCTCGTGTCCAGAAACAATCTCTAACTGCGGAGGTAAGATACTGGGGGTGCTAACGGCTAATTTGTCTTGTGAAAACACAAGCCAATATTTCTAAAATGTACACACAGACAACAACATACTTTCTAAAAACTATTTTACAGATATAAAAAATAAATATAAAATTCATAGATTGTCACATTTTTTGATATGCTGTAATAAATTTGAACGTGCATTGATTTTCTTATTTATCACGTGTAAGTAGACATTACAATAAACATGAAACAAGATCATGAATATTTACCTGAAAGTTTTGGAAAATCATTGAAAAGTCATCGAATTTGAGTAGTTAAAATGTGTATGAACCCTGACTCATGGCAGGTGTTATTTGGTACTTTTGGTCATTCATTTCGGTTAATTTGGCAAACGTCATCTGGGAAACGGTTTGATTTTCCGCTTGGTAAAAAATGTTAATGTTGATTTGAAACGACACTACATACATATACCATTCTGTTAAGTGTGTAAGTGCATAAGTGTCTAGTGTGTCATTTGGGACGCAGCTAATCTCTCTGAAAAATTGTACCCGTCTTTAATTTACCTTTACCTAGAGTGTGTGCTGTTTGTTTTTATAAGATTTCAGTCCATTTGGTCAATGAAGCTACTATCTCAAACTTTTTCAGACGTCTGGAAACCATATTTGAGGTGCCTCTTAATCGGCGTGATGGCTCGCAGGCTGTTGTGGGCCCAAAAAAGTTGAAGCGCTTTGTGGAGTTTCCTGAACTGGGTGTTGCCAGGAAGCCCAAGAAGCCCCTGGTTGGTTTGGTGGCGGGAGGTGGAGCTCAGAGGAAGACAGCAGGAAACTCTGTGGTCTGTAGGACCAGACGAGGAGTCGGGGGCTCCTCTAAAGTGGAGGAGGGCCTCACCTTGCAGGAATTGGAGTCGCTCCTCTGCTCTAAGCTTGAGGAGCTGGACACCTGGATGGCTCTCCAGCAGGTCACAGGGTAAAGCAGAGGTCTTGTTTGTTCTGTACCAAACAATAGCCTTTGTGTGTTTTATGTTAAAATTAACTGTAAATTTATTAAAGGAACAATAAATATTCGCAGATATATAAAATCTGGTTTTGATTGCTAATGTACTGTAAAGATTTTAAAACGCACCACATTGTTTATGTTTCGCAAGGTAATGCGCTACCGATAAACAAGGAACACCCTTGAAAAGGGGTTGCTGCGCTCTGTTTTTCTTTCTTTTTTTTATAACCAATCAAAAGAAGAGCACTTGTTTACATCAGTCTGTGGAGTATGGTTAAGATTTCTCTAATTCCTGCTTACCCCATCTCTTTCTCAAAAAATAGTTTCAAAGATAGTCAGAAGATCATTGTAAACCATTCCTCTGTCAATCTATTCCACATTCATATTTCATTGGTTCAAATGAATGCCTTAATACTCTCAGGATGGCCGGTGTGTTTCATTTTTATAAAGCGAACAGCACAAAGGCCTTTACAAAGTCATTGTGGCAGCATTGAAAACACTGAGTTACCAGAAAGACAAAAGATGTGCATTGTTCACTTTTAAATGATGTTTTTGTGCTTCTCGACTGTAAACATAAAAGATTTATAGGTTTCAGTGCATTCTGTGCTTTTACTCAGGTACTCCAAATATAGTCCGTTCAATTCATAGGCTTCTGCTCCTCTTTGATCTAGTGATTTGTAATACCGCTTGTGGCGTTTGGGTATGTTGAATGGTTTGTGTATAAAAATTGTTTGATATGTATAGACGTGTGAGTTCTGTATTTCTATTAGAACATGATCGAGCTCTTTTTGTAAGTAGTGCTTTGTCAAGTTGTTGTAAGAAGTTCATAATGAACAGGTATATTTTGACTGTTACACATTTTATTACAAAGGCTGAAAGACACGCATTGTACAAAACATCAAAAGCACAACATATCGGAATAACTTATTTACAAGAACAGAATGATGATAATAATAATGTAACCACATTCAACGTTTGACTGCCATGCTCTCTGTGAGTGTTTCATTTCTAATTTCCACTAAGAGCCTAAATAAAAACAGCTTGCTGGATTGTAAAAGTAGTTTGTTTGTATCTTGTGTGCTTGGCTTTAATATATGTAACACATTCCTGATAGTTACCACTTTTGGACTACCTGCTTTGGCCTTTCTGCTCTGCAGTGGTGGGTTTTAAACTCATTTAGGGATCTTGACGTATGCTTTTACTAGTAACCATCCGGTATTTTCTGTTATAACCTTACAGGTGTATATATGAATTTAAAATTTTGTCTATTTACAGAATTTGTCAGCGAGCACCATTCAACACCCCTGTAAGTGTAGGTATGACCATCTCTCTCTCTCTCTCTAAAAACTGTCCTTCTTTAAGTCGTTTAGATGTAACATGCAGTATATGCAATAAAAGTCATAAACAGTTTCACAGTGTCAATCTATGAAAGTTACAATATAGGAAAAAAATACCACTAGAAATGGGAAGATGAGAATTAAACACACCCAGGCTACAATCGCCCCAATTCCCCATTTACAAGCTTTTTCAGAGTATTTTTCCACCTTTGCTTGTGTTTCACTGCTGCTTTCATGTTCAAGCGTTTTTCTCGTCTCTCGAGCCTGAAAAAAAATGAGAAAAGGCAGTGTCAGGTTTCAAGGTGTTTTTCCAGATTGCTAGATTACTTTATACATTTCTTTCTCCCCTGACTACACTTCTAAAATTTCATGGTGTTCGTTTTTGTTTCATCTCTACCAACAGTATCTATGCTACTGGCCACAGATCAGTTTACTGTATAGCTGCACTTTATATGTGAGAATCTGTTCATAATTACATTACATTCACACAAACTTACTATAAAGATATACAAAGTGTTTATTTTCATTGCATAACTCTTGTGTTTTGTCTTTACTCCCTATTTTTAGTGGGATTGCACATATTAAATGTAGTTTAACTTCTATATCCAACAATAATCGATAACTAACCAAAGGAATGGTACAAATACAAAGATACGGTACAGATTTTTCAATACAGTAATAATTAAGCCATAGTTACCTTAACGGAGTACATAAGGGACATAATTCCAAAGCAGGAGAGGCCACATATGATGCTGCATATTGCTAATTTGCGGTGGTCTTTGTCCGTACAGATGGCTGTCAGACCAGGATAGTGGTCAGTGCTTTTCTCAGTCTGCTTACGAAAAGGCTCAAGAACCTTCACTTCCTCTAATTCATTCATCTCTGTTCAGAATATAAAAAATATATAAATATACACTCAGTCAGTTCATGCAAAAATGAGCTAAAACGACAATTGTTGAGCATTTATTTTGGGTTGGAAACAGTATAATTGTTTTACATTCAATTAACTTAAATTTGTAAAAACTAATAAGTTTACTTAATTCTTTCATGTTGTCTCAACACACACTGATTGTGTGGAACCCAAAAAATGTTTCCAATACCGTAAAAAATGAAAACTTAAACAAATTTAATTTATGACAGTTTTCAGTAATAAATAAAGTCATTTATTTCAGGTAAACTAAGCAATTTGAGCACAGTAAAATCCAATAAATGTAGAGAACTCAAACCAAACGAGTACTGTAAAACCCAATAAGTTAAGGCAACTCAAACCATTTGAGGAAACCGATTGCTACAAACCATTAGAATTAAAAAACTGATCTATACAAGTACTGTGAATTTAACTTAAGTAGAAGTAATGAGCTATTTAACTCATTACTGTGTCAATACTGTGTTCAAAACTCTTCATGTGAGTAGAATTAACTTTTAGGAATTTTTTTTGAGTTAACACTCATTTTATTTGATAAAGTTGACTGTTGGTTTTTGCAGTGTATTGAAAGGAAATTATTTGTACTGTAATAAAAGTATTTTTCTATTTATTATTGTATTAACAATATTATATTGAATCATTTGTACTGTAGTTTGTTAAACTTAATTTAATTGTAAGAAGTCAAAGTAATTAGAATTTTCACTTTTTACAGTGAATGTAGGGGACTCGACATGGAAGTAATAATTTTGCATGTACTTCACCATGCACACTGTTGAAAACGATTAGTTTAGGTTAAAAATAAAATGAAGTAAAGCTGTTGCATTAAAAGCAACAAGTTTGCTTAACATTGAGTAAACCTGTTGTAACTTGAAACTTGAGCCTGGTTTCTCTCAAGGTTTTTTTTCCTTCACTTTCGCCAATTGGTGAAGTTTGTTCCTCACTGCTGTTGCCACAGGCTTGCTTGGTTTGGGACTTGTGGAGCTGTGCATCAATGGATTTGCTCTTCAGTGTTTGGACTTTCAGCAGTGAAATTTAAACTACACTGAACTGAACTAAACTGAACTTCAACCCAGAAAACTGGACTGACACAGTTTCAATTGACTAGAATTTCAATTTACTAGAAGCTGTGTTGACAATCTACATTGTAAAAGTTCTATAGTAATAAAGATGAATTGAATTGAATGGTTAAATTGACTTATTTTAAATGGTATTTATTGTATAATATTTTAACTTACTTAAAGGAATAGTTTATTTGACATTTTCTCATTCTCAATTGGTTCCAAACCTTTGTGAGTTTCTTTCATCTCAAAGAAAGCTGAAAACCTATTACTATCGACTTTCATAGTGGAAAAACAAATACTATAAAGTCAATGGTTACATGTTTTAGCTTTTTTCAGAATATCTTGCTTTTGAGTTCAACAGATGAAAGAAAGATAAACATGACAATATTCATTTTATGGTGAACTATTTCTTTAACTAATTTAAGGGCAAGGAGTCAACTAATCGCTTTTACAGTGCAGCAGTCTCCAAAAAGCGATCTCTGCCATATTAATTACTGATGGTCTTGTTTAGTAATTAATTTTTCTTTTAAATGCTTCAATGTGATTGATGTGATGCTTATTTGTGAAATATTAATAACTGGTTATTTTGCAATCAATGTATACTATATTTTGTTATATTCATTTATCTATTTAAAACAATTTGATAGTTAAAAAACACATTTTGTTACAAATGCAATCTTTTTGCTAAAAAAGTTCAAATTGAGTATTTATTTTCTTCCCATTTAAAAAAGTGTTCCACTTGTGGTTTAATTAAACTTAACCAAATGTTAAACATACACTTGTGAATTAATGGGCTGATCGCTGATTTGTAACATGAACAGATTCTTGCCTCTAATTCATTTTACTTTCAGTTTTAATATGAGGTTAAAAAGAAAGAAGTTTATAAATAATGAAGAGTGAGACTCAAATAAATAAAAAACGGCTGAACAGGGATTTCCTAAAATCCCCTCAAAGCGTTTCATGTGAACTGACTTTCTTGTATCTCTCATTGTTTTGGAGCTTGAAAAACTAGTATGGACAGAGATGGTCATGTTATGACAGAAACTGGCAACTATATTGAGTAATGACAGACTTCACTGTTCATTAATTACAAAGCCAGCTTCCCCCCAAGCTTTATTATCTTTTACTTTTTATTTTGACTGTGAAAAGCCACATCTTTATCAATTTCTGAATCACAAGTACAGGACTGTCACGACGAGACTGTGATTTAAAATCTCAGCAATGTACAGTGGGCTCTCAGAAAGACAATAATCTTGAAAGAAGAGGTGAAAAGCATGATATTTTGAGCCAGTTGTTGAAACTGAAGCCCTCTGTACTTACAGACTCGCCCAGACTTGATCTTGAGGGAAGAAGTGTCTGAAATTCCTCAACTCCACCAGAGATCCAAAGCTGTTTACTAACCTTAAGTTTTGTAACCTTCCCCTTAAGTCTGGAGCTTTGCTATTCTTGATTATTTAGTAACTTTTGTTCTAGTGTTCAATGACAAGGTTGTCACATGACTTCCCATCAAAGCTTCTTCTTTTTTCAATGGAAATTTCAGGATGACTTCTTTAGCTGCTGTTTAGTCCTTTAAAGAGGCAGAGAGAGTGTGAACACTGAGCCCAATCCAGCAGTGACAGACTGAGCTGAGCACACCTTCTCCTATTTTATCCACTGTCCCTCCCACTTTTCTTACTCGCACTCACACAGCTGGAAATACTTCCCCTCTCACATTCTTCAGGTCTTACGTTTATCAGTCTGTTTACCACACCTTGTTTCTCTCTGAATCACAAGTGGCTCTTGCAGACTTTGTCACATAAAGCTTTGACTTGTGACAGTTTTCTGTTATCAACTTTCAATTTAAACAGATTCAACTTCCTATACGTGTTAACTGAAGTGTGTTTGTAAACTGAGATTGCGTTTTTCATGTTTCTTAATTGAGCATAAACGTTGGATAAACCCTTGATTTACCGCTTGTCATGTTTTATGAACATTGTTTATAGAGTGGTTACTACTACTGAGAATTTTCTCAAGTCTGCATTTCTCATTTATTTATTTTCACTTTCAAGGTCAGGATTGATGGTTTTTCACTTGAAACCACTCACCCCTCAGTCAACCAAATACACTGAAAAAAAGCATTCAAATATGATTCCATGGATTTACTCTTTTTTTTTTTTTTTTTTTCTTTTCTTTTTTTTTTTTAAAGTCAAGTGGTTGTAAAAACTTTTTTTGGGGTTGAATTTAAACAAAGTTGAACATTAGATTAAATTTTTTTAAATTCAACTTGGCGATGCAGTGGTGCAGTAGGTAGAGCTGTTGCCTCACAGCAGGAAAGTCGCTGGTTCGAGCCTCGACTGGGTCAGTTGGCATTTCTGTGTGGAGTTTGCATGTTCTCCCTGCGTCGCGTGGGTTTTCTCTGGGTGCTCTGGTTTCCCCCACAGTCCAAAGACATGCGGTACAGGTAAATTGGGTAAGCTAAGTTGTCCGTATAGTGTATGAGTGTGTGTGAGAATGTGTGTGTGTGTGTTTCCCAGAGATGGGTTGCGGCTGCAAGGGCATCCACTGCGTAAAAATATGCTGGATAAGTTGGCGGTTCATTCTGCTGTGGCGACCCCAGATTAAAAGAAAATAAATGAATGAATAAGTTCAACTTATAAATTGTTTTTAACAGTTGTGTAGAACACAAGCTAAAAATACATTGTGTCAAAGTAATAAAAAAATTCAAATATTACATAAAGATCCCCTGATGCTCCATTAAGATTTTTTTGTAGTTTTCCTCCCAAATATATTAAAACTCAGTCTTTGATTAGTAATGTCTATTGCTAAGAATTTAATTTGAACTGCTTCAAAAGGGATTTTCAGTATTTAGATTTTTCAAACCCTCCAAATATAAAAATACGTGCATCTCAAAGAATGTTTGACCAATCCTAAAAAAGTATATATCAATGGAAAGCATATTTATTCAACTTTCATGCAATGCATGAATCTAAAAAAAAAATCCAAAAATGTACACCCATGACTGGTTTTTGTGTTCCAGGCTTATATATATATACTTACACCCGCAGGGAGATTTATATACAAGTTGATATTTAGCCGCACCATATTGGTATTTCCTAACATCTAGTTTTTATGAGGTGGGTTGTTAGCCCAACACTCAACCTGGAGGACCGGGACATACACTACAGACAAATTTAGCTAATTCACCTACTACAGCACATGTCTTTGGACTATGTGGGAAACCAGAGCAAACCCACATGAACACAGGGAGAACATGCAAACTCCACACAGAAATGCCAATTGACCCAGCCAGGGCTCGAACCAGCGACCTTCTTGCTGGGAGGCGACAGAGATACCCACTATGTTACCATGTCGCCCTGGCTCATATATATCTACATTAAAGATAAAAATGTAAAAATGCAAGTATTATGCGGTAGAGACCAAAAATGTAAATTAAGGACAGTTAAAGGGTATACAAACATTCAGCTCAGGTGATTGGGTGGACCACTTGTCAATTTGAGCGCCACCCTGCCCCTTACACTCTTAAACTAACTTAATTGCCATCAATGGTTCTATTAGTTTTCCATTCCACAGAGATTTCCAAGAGTCCTGGATGTCCTTGATAGTTTGTGAATCTGAAAACAAAAATCTCAGCCCAGGAAAGCTTTTGCTAATAAACCTACTGATATAAATCCTTAAAAGCGCTCGATTTATTTTGTGTAAGAAATTTCTGAATAATGAAATGTGATGTTATTCCCTCAGGTTCACTGATGTGTTATTTGTCCTGTCCACCACTTTGCGGTCTCTACATACTTGCTTGATTTACAATACCAACATTTGTACATCACCTTAAACGTTTCCCACATTGTTTACTTTGTGTTATACATTGTCACGACATTCACACCCACCCGAAATCGGCAAGTAAAACTTTAAAGCATATTTTTCATATATATTAAAACTTCTGGTTGCATGAGCTATTTTTAAACTCTAAACAATATCTGAGTTAGACAAAGTCAGCAGTGGCTTAAAAAATTATTTAAATGTAATTGTAAAAAATTACCCCAACAGTTGGATTAGTCCGTATTTATAAATATACAAAAAATGATTTTCAGATCCTTGAGTATTTTTAAGGGTAATTGTATGTTAGATTTAACCTGCAGTTGTCTCTGTCTGACACTCATGACAACACTAATGCTGTGCTCGTAAAGGTTCACTGCTCTGGCTTGAGCTGAGCTTACACTTTAACAGAGACTGACACTGAGGTGAGACATCTGCTGGATTGAAAAACTTTCACCTCTTATTTTCTGTTTGCTTAAAATAAAGAAGAAAACATTATATGGTTGCAGAGATTTGTTTACAGAACAACACATTCATAGAATCCAATAAGTTAATATAGAAAATCATCATACTTCTTTGAAATAATGACTTTATTTGTCATACAGCCTGAAATCAAATCACATTCCCAATAAACTTTTCCAGTCTGAATTGTGAATTTATTGCAAAGGACTTTTAAAAAGAAGTGTGTAATGAGAGTAAAGGTATAGATTTTCACAGAGTATAATACATTTTCTATAGGCACTATGCAAGCTAAATTATTTTAGAAATAATTTTCAAGAATTAAAATGTACATTTTTATGGCTACATTTCGCATTCATGAATATGTATTTTTATGGAACAGATCAAATATATTCAAAATATAAATGGTATATTGAATCAATTTCCAATATAATTATTAATAAGCAAAGTAGATATTAAAAATGTACATGCATTAAAAATATAACTGTACTATAAATTCCCTGGCAATTAAAATGTTGCTATATATACAGCTTCAGAAAGATCTATTGGGTTTTCAGACAAAGAAGTAATGCAATTTGTTTAATTTCTACCTTGAATAATTCTCTTAATAATTTTTCTGTATATAAATATAGTTTCTAAGTTTTTTTTAGTAATCCGTTACAAAGACATACATATAATCATTATCAGTGCATAGCAGTTATTATAAAAAAATAAGTTTTGTACGGTCTTGTTTGTGCCTTCGTCAGAGCCACGGGCCAATCATAAGCCACGACATGCTCATGACGTGGCGGTACAGTGTAAACGCGGAAGAGTGATATGCGAGTGAGGTGGGCGACTTTAATAAATCGCAACTGACATGCAAGGAGATTCTTTTTGTTATGATATTTTTTTAAAGATATAAAAAGACATTCTTATGCTCAACCACATACATCGTTAAAAATGTACATGCAGCCTGAGACTACAGTTAGTTTAGTGAATATTTAAAGGTCTATAAGTTATTGATTTTGATTGTTGTTTCTTTAAAGCTCTTACTGATGTGCAGATGGTCGAGATGGAGGAAAGTGAAGGAGTGGTTGCTACTGAGCGGTATGGCTCACAGGAGTCCTGGAAATACCTGCTGAAGGAGGGAAAGGTGATGAGGCGCAAGGATGCAGTGAACGGAGGACTGGCGGCAAATTCAGTCTCTGGCGTGTTTAAAGTGCGTGAGGAAAAACTTTAATGATGTCTTACTGAAAATAATCCCCAAACCATCAATCAACCAACCACATATTTACTTTCTCAGAGCGTTTTCCTGCCACAGGGATACCCAGAGAGTGTCAGTGAAGATTACCTGCAGTATCAGCTCTGGGACACTGTACAGGTACATCATGACCCTACACCTAGTCAACATCTAGTCGAGTCAGCTTTATTTCTGTTGCACTTTATTTGGTGCAGATTTATTAAAGCTGCTTTACCTAGATGGACAGGGTAAACAAAAAAAAAAAAACAAAACAAAAAAAAATGCTGGCGTAGTTCTAGTTAAAGTAAAACTGATTCAGTTTAGAGCAGCTCTACCATCCCCAAGCAAGCCAAGGTACAGGTACAGAAGGAGATACCTTGTACTATAGTTATATAAATGTGCTTCAAAATTGGTGTAAAAAAAGTTCACTGGAGATCAATTTTAATAAATTGGAGATGATAATTATTAGAAATAAACTAGTTCTTAGTCAAGGGTTAAAACCTCTGGTCCTTGAAGGACATGAAAGACAGTTGGATGTTTTAAATATTTAGCAACATTTATTGATAGTGTATTGACATTTGCTGCAAATGCAGAGTGCATTTTTAAAAAAGAAATGCAGAGATGATATCTCATTAGGAGATTACAACAATTTGGTGTGAGTCAAGATGTCTTAGAGATCTTATACAAGAACTTGGTTGAAAGTGTTGTGAGTTTTAACATGATTGCATGGTATAAACTGTTGCCAATTAAGGAAACGAGTAGTAAAACTTGCCAGTCCAATTGCAGGTAAAACACAAAGATAATGAAATGTATTCAATGAGAATTAAACAGAAAGCACATGCCATTATTGAATATTGTTTACATCCTTTAAATGTAAAATTTCAGCTCTTGCTATTAAAAACATGTTTTAGGCAATCAGGTAAAGAAAAATGTGTATCAAATGTCCTTTGTGCCGAGTGCCATTAGAATTTTAAATACTGGGTTGTAAGTATGTGAAGGGTTTTAAATAGAGTTTTTAATGTGATTTATGTGATGACGTTAAATGTTTTTGTGTTGCCTGTTTTTTCTGTGATGTGTGTAATGTTGCTGATTTGGTTGTGTGGTGAAGCCAAAGATAAATTTCTACTTGTGGACAGTAAAGAAAGTA